GGGTGGGTTCTTTGATGCCGTTGAAGATTTCCACTGGCACTGAAACTCTTTCCACACTCTGAACATCCAAAAGGTCTCTCCCCTGTGTGGGTTCTCTGATGCTGTTTAAGAGTGCCACTCCAACAGAATCTCTTTCCACACTCTGAGCATTCAAAAGGCTTCTCCCCTGTGTGGGTTCTTTGATGCCGTTGAAGACTGCCACTCCGACTGAATCTCTTCCCACACTCTGAGCATTCAAAAGGCTTTTCTCCTGTGTGGGTTCTTCCATGCAGCTGAAGACTGCTACTCTGACTGAATCTCTTTCCACACTCTGAGCATTCAAAAGGCTTCTCCCCTGTGTGGGTTCTTTGATGCCGTTGAAGACTGCCACTCCGACTGAATCTCTTCCCACACTCTGAGCATTCAAAAGGCTTTTCTCCTGTGTGGGTTCTTCCATGCAGCTGAAGACTGCTACTCTGACTGAATCTCTTTCCACACTCTGAGCATTCAAAAGGTCTCTCCTCTGTGTGGGTTCTCTGATGCCTTTGAAGAGTGCCACTCTCACTGAATCTCTTTCCACACTCTGAGCATTTAAAAGGTTTCTTCCCTGTGTGGGTTCTCTGATGCTTTTGAAGATTGCCACTTTTACTGAATCTCTTTCCGCACTCTGAGCATTCAAAAGGTTTCTCCCCTGTGTGGGTTCTCTGATGGCTTTGAAGATTGCCACTCCTACTGAATCTCTTTCCGCACTCTGAGCATTGAAAAGGTCTCTCCCCTGTGTGAGTCCTCTGATGCTGTTGAAGAGTGCCACTCTGACTGAATGTCTTTCCACACTCTGCGCATTCAAAAGGTTTCTCCCCTGTGTGGGTTATCTGATGACTTATCAGATAGGCACTCTCACTGAATCTCTTTCCACACTCTGAGCATTCAAAAGGTCTCTCCCCTGTGTGGGTTCTTTGGTGCTTTCGAAGAGTGCTACTGTAACTGAATCTCTTTCCACACTCTGAGCATTCAAAAGGTCTCTCCCCTGTGTGGGTTCTCTGATGCTGTTGAAGATGGCCACTCCTACTGAATCTCTTTCCACACTCTGAGCATTCAAAAGGTTTCTCCCCTGTGTGGGTCCGTCGGTGCAGTTGAAGAATGCCACTCTGGCTGAACCTCTTTTGAGATTTCGAGCATCCAAACAGTTTCTCCCCTCTGTGTATTCTTTGGTGCACAAGGAGCTGTGATCTATTTCGAAAGTACTTCCCACACTGAATGGATGTCATTGCCTTCATTAACCTCTGCTTTGGAAAATGGACATTATGCTTTCTTCCATCTCGCTTCTCGGCCGTACGGCTCCCTTTCTTTCTCTTAGGTCCACCTTGATCCCTCCTGTTTTCTTTCAAGTCTTCATTTTTAAATCTATCTTGCAATAGTTCATCTTGCAATAGTTCATCACCCTCCTCATTGCTCTGATCATCTTCTGCTAGAGTAAAGACAGAGAGCCCATTAACACCTGGGAGGGCAGGTAAGATCCACTGGTCTTAACCTCCCCACCCCCACACCTAGCCCCAGAATATCTAGTATTTAAGGATACCTCACCGCCCTGAAGAGTCGAAAGTTTCTCAACCTGCCTGTTTCCCTTGACATAACCATGAAGGATACTCACTCTCAGCCAGCTCATCTGGGAAGAAGATATGCTCTTGGGATCCTCCTGAGGAACTCTCCAGCCTTTCTTTGGATTCAAGGCCATCGTCTGTCTCCACCGTAGCCTCTCTTATCATTATGGCTTCTTTCACAGAGAGAGAGACAGAGACAGAGAGAGAGAGACAGAAAGAGAAAGTGATGATTCTTGTAATGCGAAGAAAAGAAATTAAAAGAGTTGATATTCTTCTGAAGGGACGGAACCGTGGTCAAGATCAAAGCCCGCAATCCCAACCAGTCTAAGGGGAATGGATCTGTGAGGCAAAGCATCCTCGTTCCCCAAAGGGTTAACGTGATTATTAAGCGTCCTGGTCCGACTCACAGATGTTTGTGACTTGAGTCTCCCTGCAGCTAACATCCTTACCTTTTGGAAGGCCAGACTCCAGACTGTGGCCATTGGTTAAGTGCGCAGACTCTAATCTGGAAGAGCCGGGTTTGATTCCCCACTCCTCCACTTGCAGCTATTGGATGACCTTGGGCAAGCCATAGTTCTGTCAGAGCTGTTCTCTCAAGGACAGTTCTCTCAGAGTTCTCTTAGCCCCGCCTACCTCACAGAGTGTCTGTTGCGGGGAGGGGAAGGGGAAGGGAAAGGAGTTTGTAAGCTGCTCTGAGACTCCAAGTGAAGGGCAAGGTATAAATCCAATCTATTCTCTTCTTCATTGCAAGAACCTGTATCCAATAGTGGAACAAGGAGGGGGAAATTAGGAGGGTGCTGACAGCCTCTGGAAAATTCCAGCTAGCAGGATACTTGATTGGGTCGTTAGGACCACCTGACCCTAGAGGGGTATGACATGGGCAGAGAACAGAGTGGGCCCATCTGACAGCACTGCTGATTGTGTGAACTGAGGCAGATCATGAGAGGGAGGGCAGGACGGGTGGCCTCAGTGCTTAGTTCTCGTGGCCCTTTCTTACACGCCCGGGGAAATGCCAATGGCCACTTTGGGCGTCAGGAAGCCATTTCCTCCAGGCCAATTTGTCCAAGGATCCCAGAGGGTTTTTTGGACATCTTCTGGGCATGGAGCAGGGGTCACTGGAGGTGTGTGTGTGTGGGGGGGGTGTTCGTAAAATTTCCTGCATTGTGCAGGGGGGTGGGCTAGATGACCCTGGAGGTCCCTTCCCTATGATTCTATAACATAATGCCATTTCATTGACTAGCTTCATTGACCCGAGGTCTGAAGGCAAACATACAAACCAAGAACCAAGAAAAGAACGGACCGGCCGGGCAACAAGAGAACGGGCCCCGTCGTCCCGACAGTGGAGCCGTGGCAGTCCCTGGGTGTTGGGAGCGTCGAGGTCTGAAGAAGGAGAACGTTGAGGTCTGGAGCGGGTCGAACCCACTGAACTGGGTTTCGCTCAGGTACAAAGTGTAGTGACCTGGGAGGACCGGGGGTGGGTGGGGCTTTGGTTCTTGACAGGATCATTTCAAGACCACAGGCAGAGCGGCCTCAGTGGCCCCTGGGCAAGGACACATGCAGATGAACAACACATGGAACTGCCTTCTCACTGAAGTCAGCGTTGTCTACTCAAGTCTGGCAGCAGCTCTTCAGGGTCTCAGGCAGAGAAAGGTCTTTCCCATCCCCTCCTGCCTGATCCTTTTAACTGGAGATGCTGCCAGGGTTTGAACCCGGGACCTTCTGCAGGCTAAGAGGATGCTCTGCCAGTGAGCCACAGCCCCTCATCGAGTAGCAGAAGAGACCTCAAAACGGTGTATCTCTATTCAATATTTTGATTCATGCCTCCTCACAATGGCAGCAATTCACACCTTTGGCACCTATGAACCATCCTTACCCAGAAAGGCCACATTCCCGTAGTTCTCCTGCATGACGTCCCAGTACAGAGCTCTTTGTCCCGGATCCAGTAGGGCCCACTCTGCCACGGTGAAATACACGGCCACCTCCTCAAAGGAAATGGGACCCTGAAAGAAAAAACCAGATTTCCCTCGTCAGAGATCACGCCAGGCAGAGAAGGAACACTGGAAGGGAACGGACAGGATGTAAGTCTTGGGATGGGTCAAGGGAACGGCGTTCAGAGGATCTCTCGCCCGGACACCTTGTAGAAACTGCGGGAGCAAAAGACCCCCCTGAGAAAGGAGGAGGGACCCAGGCTGCCTCCCCCCCCCCCGGCTCATCTCTCCTACCTGGACTGGAGGGGCAGCAGCCGTTTCCACACCCCTGAGAAGACGGCGGCTCAACAGCATCTCTTCACTGCCTGCTCCTGAGACAAAGGAGGAAGGAAGGGAGTTTGCTTGTTTTGTCCTTGCTTCATGAACCCCCTTTCCCAGGACTATGAAACCTTGCCCTGTCACACTCAACAAACTGTTAAACACTTTCTACTAAATTCTGGGAGAGGCAGAACAGAAGAACCAGGAATCTCTGAGCCTCCGGGATTATAAATGCTGCCAACAGCGTTGCGTGTAAGCTTTGATAGGTGTGCTGGGCAGATGGCTCCTCACCTCGGTGCAGGGATTTTAATCTCAGTGCATAAGAACAAAAGAGAAGCCAAAGGTTGGATCAGGCCAAAGGCCCCTCCACTCCAACACTCTTGCGAAAAATACCAGGTGCCATCGGGGGGTCCACCAGTGGGGCCAGGACATTAGAAGCCCTCCCAATGTTGATTCGCCCCCCCAGCACCAAGAAGACAGAGCAACCCTGGCCCCAGCCTGAGAGTTCCTATCTGTACCTTGTGGCTAATAGGGGCCTTGTGGCTAATAGGGGAATGTTAGAGTTGGACCTCTGCTCCATCTGACAGATGTTTTTTTCTTCTCCCAGGGTTCAAGAAAGGGGCTATGGGCCCCTGGAGAAACTGGGGGAACCTGGCAGCAGTCTGCAGCTGCTTTCCCCTCTCAGACGGGGGGGGGGGGGGGGGGCCTTGG